GTTGTCTTAGTATGTACTGACTCTTGGATTATGCTGCAGGAAGTTCTTTTATCTGGGTGTGGAGAAATGCTGTGTGATGGCAAGTAAATACCTGGGGCTTGTCATCAGGTCTGTTGGTTTGTTAACTAATGCACAGACAATGTCACTGGGCTGGTTGTACCTAAATTGTGTCTCTGAGATGATTTCGGTGTTGCTAATAAGTCACTGCTGGGGGAGAAAGGGCAGAGCGAAGGGAACTCCTTGTGAGATGACTTGATGACCCAGGTTGATGACTTCCTGAAGTAAAAGTCCTTCTTGTCTCTGTGCAAAATCCAAAGTATGCCTAATTTTGTAATATTGATAGAACAATGTTGTAATTAGAAAGAATGTAGCTGTCATAACTTCATGTTGGTGGAAATGTCTGCACTGGGGTAATGTGCCTTGGACTGTCCGGGGCACTCGTGTGGTCTTGTCTATTCAGAACTCCGCTCTGGGTCTGAAAGGAGAATGTTTTGGGTTTGGTTTTTTTCCAAGCATGAGTCTAATGTGAATCTGTTCACAGTCTCTCGTGGAGCAAAATCTGTTCCCTTCATAACTGCAATGGCTCAAATACCATTTATTTTTTCTTTTTTTTTTTTTTTTCCAAACATTAAAGGGGAATTGACAAATTTAAACAGCCTCTAGTTTCTTCTTCGTTACCAGCTGTCCCAAGCAAAACCAGCCCTTGTCCAGAGAGGGTGAGCAGTGAGTTCTCTGCCCTTGAAGGTGGTGATGACCCAAAGGAGACAGATCCGCAGAGGGAGAAACTCAGCCTGGGGGGTGTATGTGGCCAATCTGTGCTGGAGCTGACCTCCAGCCTGGTTCCAGCCCTGCTCCAGAAGGTGGGACTGAGGAGAGTGTGTCCTGCTTCAGCCCTGATGGGATGCTGCTGTGCCCAGTAACCTGGGTATGCAGGTGCTGGGCCTAACCTCTTAATGACTTCAGTCAAATGGGGTGCTAGAGCAGCTGGGGCCCTGGCTCCTGGGTACTCTGAGATGTCTCCCTGCTTTGCAGGGAGTTAGGCTTCCCCTTCAGGATTCCCCTTCAGGCTTCCTCCCTGTGCTCAGTAGAAAGGTGAGATCTAAAACTCTTGCTAGTTGCCTGAAGCTGATGTATATTTAATGCCTCCAGCACTGCAGGGACTGTAAGCTTGGCCTTAAACAACCCCCTCAGCTTGCTATCTCGCTCCTGATGCAACCTAAATGTGGGGTTGTGGCCTCCTGATATTTTGGAAAAGCCGTGGGCGCCTGCCAAGCACCATAGTGTAACAGTTATGCTGTGGGACAGTAACACCAGCATGAGAAATGAGGGGAAGCTGAGCTGCAGACAAACATGACTCATGCAAAGCAGCTATAAAATGAACTGAACCCAAAACTCCTGAGCAGGCAGCAGTGTGGCTGTTACACACGGGCAATCTGCTGTAACCTACGCCCGGCAGTGCTGAAAAGCAGAGGTGGTTTCTCCTTTGGGGAAGAGCTGGGAGCGATGCTCCTCCCTCACGAGTCCCAGTCAGCCTTTTAGCTGGAAGTGTAGTTGCAGGGTTTAAGCTCTGGGGCTCTGCAGGCCTGGCCTGGCTGGGTCTGGGTTAACACTGCAGCTCCGGGAAAGCTTTTGCCATCTTGTGGGGTGGTTGAGTGCCCTTGGTGCAGAGGGCTCCTAGTCAAAGCAAGTGCAGCTGCAGTGTGGGAAGGCTCATCCATACCTGAGGTGGAAAACTTTCCCAGCCTGAGTTCCACCTGTGGGAAGCATCCCTTCCAGCCACGTATCCAGTGGTTGTGGTGCTGCTGTATAAATCCATCTCTGGAGAGATGGGGAGGCCCTGCTCAAGCTGGAGGGACAGGGAGTTGACAAACATGAGTAGAAAATGGGTTTGATGCTTCCTTAGATGTGTCACTGCAGTGGGAGCCCTGCTTCAGGCTCGGGGAAAGAAGCTCTAACTCGCACCCTTAACGATTAGACACTGAAACTGAGTGCTGCTCAGCTCCCTTAAGCCCTGCAGTGGACGTTGTGTCCTCAGCCTTCCCCCTAATCCATCCCTTCCATAGTGCTGGGGCTCTGGAGGGTACAAACTGCCCCAAGTTAAGCAGAGCTTCCCTCTAAACAGCTGAGGGCAGAGTGAGGTGTTGCCTTCCCCTGCGGCTCCCCAGCAGCTGTCTGACAGAGCTTTTGGCTTTGACTTTTTCCATTGCTGGCTCCACTTTGTCTCCAGTTTCCACCAGGCGCAGGTGTCCTGCATGATGCCTCGGAGCATTAACTGTTTCTGTGCTGAAGAGGCCAACTGTATCCCCAGGATGGCTGCTCAGTTGCAACAGGGGCATGATGCTATTTGAAAACATCTGAATGTGGGGCACTGAGTGGAAGGTATGTATCTAGGGGAAACATCTGGGGAAAGAAACTACTTCCAGATGTGTTTGGGCAAAAATGCTATTTAAATGTGAACTCAGTACATGTTACTGTCTTGCTTTACAAGGTTCAGATGTCTGCTTGTAGGGGAGTTCAAGGTGCTGGCTGGGGGTCTGGGTGCAGGACAGGGTCTGCAGATGTGTGTGTGTGTTTGCTGTGGGTAACTGTGGTTTGTGGTTGGAGAGAGTGTCCTGTTACTTTCTGTTGCACAAGCCAAGTTATTCAGTTCCTCACATGGAATATTTCTTCCAGATGTGTCCTTTGTGGCACTGGAGAGCAGACAGGGTGTTTGTTGGTAGCTGCGCTCCATGTGTGTAACCACTAGACATGATCTAGGATTCATTCTGTGGAGGGAGCATGGTGCAACACCCCAGGAGAAGGCGTTAGCAGGGAGAGCCAGCCTTGCTCTGCCTGCGGCACAATGTTCTTCCCCTTCTCCGTGACCACTTAGGACTCGGGAAGGGAGGAAGTGATGGCAGCATCCTCCCCACCCTGGGCATGCTGCAAAGGGACCGGGTGTTGCACGCTGCTCCCATGGGAACACCCAGGCTGCATGTCAGTGCTCTCCTTCCCTCCCATCCAGCTGAAGCACGAGGAAGCAGAGCCTGCTGCTGATAAACCCGGTACCCAGTGGATGGATCCTTCTCTCTGTGCTTTTGCGGGAGATTTGAGATGAAGAGGGAAAACATGGAAATGATTTTTATCTCGCTTTCAGTCTCCAGCGGGTAAGTCCTTAGGAGGCCGGTGGCGCGCGGTGAAGGAGGCAGGGCTGCACCATCCCTGCCCACTCGAGGTTTCCCTGCTTTGTTCTATTTATTGAGCAACGATTCCAACACCCTTTCCCAGACTGTGACTCATAGCAGCAGTGTCTATGCATAAGCCATGTGTCTCAGAGTGCTTTATAGATACAGGAGCTGCAGGAGTCAACTGTGTTTATTAAAAGAGGATCAGATGCTTCCTCCCTTAAGGCAGTGTCTCACTGAGGCTGAGTAATAACTCATTACCAACGAGACAAATAACTGCATATTGTCAGGTCAGTGCCTTCACCAGCCCTGCTGTTAGGGAGGCAGGCACCCTGCTTCTCCTGCACCAGGCACCAGTGGTCTCAGCACGCAGCACAGTGGGGTGAGGGAGCTGCCCAGCCTGAGCAGGGGCAACCCCAGGTTCTGCTCCACTCTCAGGAGGGTTTGGCCTTGGGTCAAGCTTGAGGAACAGTTTTATCCAGCCCTGCTATAGCTTGTTTCTTCCTGCCTGTGGACACAGGCTTATGTAGTGTCCTCTCAGTCCACGTCTTTCTGTCCCGGTGCTGGGGGCTGAGACCAAATGCACCAGAGCTTGCTGTGGCCTGGTGGAAAAGCCAGTGGTGGGTCAGCACAGCTCTGGTCCCTTGCAGGCTTGCTCAGAGGCTTTCCTCAGACGCCATCCTCTGGCGTGGCTGCGGTGGCCCTCTCCTGCCAGCTGCCATGGCACCTCTCCATGTCCTTTGTTCCCTCCCTTGCTTACACATCTCCATTGATTTATGGCTGTTGCGGAGCAGCCTGACTGCAGCTCAGCTGCCTGCCCAGACCCTGGCCAGGCTGCATGCCTGTGCCCCCAGCCTGATGTGCAGGGAGGCTTTTGGGGAGAGATCCAAGCCCCCATGCAGTAGGGCCCCCCTCCATTTAAACACATGCATGGCCTTTTCTTTCACCTCCTTCCATCCCGGGTGTGAATGGAGTGCTTTCAGGGGGAGGAGATTGCTGGGAGCTGCGCTCTCCCTGTGCATTGGTTGCAGCCCATAAAAGCATCCAAGGAATTCACCACAGCAGTCCCTGTGCAGGGTGAGTGCAGTGAAAGCCACCCTTTGTTCATGCAGCCCTGGCCACCGAATCCTACACACTGATGGGGCTGGAATCTGCAGAGCTGGATATGTGCTCCCACCAGCATGTTGTCCTTAGCAGCCCCTGTGGGTATGACACTGCACTGAGGCCATTGGGAAGGGTTTTCCCATGTCTTACCCCAGCCAGGGTGAGCAGCAGGGTGTGAGCAGCATGAGGTGCTGCTCGGGCATGATGGAAAGACTTCCCCAAGGTTTGCCAGCAGGTTGAGCGCCAGGGTGTACACACAGTGTGACCCAAGCTTTAGCTCCGTGCTGCTTAAGCTGAGTCAGAGGAATGTAAATCCCTTCTTACACAGATCTTTTTTCCACCAAGTGTTTGATTACAGGTTTGGGGTTTAATCTCGTGCCCATCTCGCGTGGTTTCCTGGCTGGTTGTGCTGGGGCCGCTCCGGCAGGAAAGGACGGAGGGCTGACACGGAGCCAGGACGTGCCTC